TCAAAACATTTTCCAAAATCACACACAAGGCACCATTTCAAACAATTGAAAGCACCATTTCAAACAATTGAAAAGCAAAGGCAAGTGATCTAAGCAAGTAACTAAGAGCCCATGGATAACCATGGATAGAAAGGGTGCTAATACCTTCCCTTTCTATAATCTACTCCCCGAACCCAAGAAAACATCTCAAAGGTTTTTCCTGTGCTTTTTAACCTTTCCTTAGGATAAAATAAAAAGTCGGTGACGACTCTTGCTCAACCGAAACATTTGCGAAAACAAACGCAAAACCCAAGTCAGTTCTCCCACCGTATCACATATCCCCTTTTGACTTTTTTGTCGATGTCCATGTTGTTTTTGCTAAACTCTTGTCTATGAGTGTTTGGTTCATCTTTTTGTATGGATATTGATTCTTTGTTTTCTTGAACCCTCAACTATGATTTGTAGTTTGAATTTTTGCCTTGCCTTAGAAAGTAGGGAGTATTCACATTTTGATGTTGGTTAATTTCAAGTTGGGGAGAGAATTGTTTGCTTGCTCTTGTGTGTATTACTATGAGGTTGAGAAAGAAAGAGAAAAAGAAAGAAAACGAAAAAAAACTGAAAAAGAAAGAAAAAGAAAAAGAAATAAAAAAGAGAAAAGTTTTGAAAAACAAAAATAAAAAGGGTTCAAATAATGTTATGATAATAAGTGATGTGTGTTGGTTTAAAATTTCCAATGAAGAAGAAGTTTGATTGAAATTATTTTGTTTGAGTATTTGTGAGTTAATCACTCCCTTAGGTTAAGGCAAGTTTTTATTGCAATTAGCTTTAGGACTTATCCCTTGTTTATTAACCAAGCCACATTGCAACCTTGAAAAGCCCTTGTGATTCTTGCCTTTGTATTTCCAATATGAGTTTTTGGATGAATGCATAATTTAGTCTATTGTTTACAAGATTGTGGAAAAGTGTTTTTTTCCCCTCACTTTTGTGTGTTCTTCATCTACCGATGAATTTTTATTAGGTGTGATTCATGATTGAGCTTGTTTTATTTTAGAATGTTTAGTATGATTTTTGTACTTTGGATTCATTTCATTTACATATTATCATTGTAGGATTGTGTAAGTATTTACCTTGTGTGTGCGTTTTTGTTTGAACCATACATTTGTTTTCCATTTTCAAAACTTGTAGATTCATGATTCTTTGGTTAATTACTTTTGGTTCTTTGAGTTGTTTGGCCTTGTTTGAGGACAAACAAGTTCAAGTTGGGGATAGTTTAATAAGTGCAAATTATAGCTATTTTTGTATATACTTTTTGTTGCACTTATCGACTATTTGTTGTAAATATCGGTTGAATAAACCGACTTTTGTGTAAATATGTTTAGTTTGTGTTTATTTGTGTTTTTGTGTATATAGTGTACCGTTTGATGTTTTTCCATTCATTTTGTAGGTATTTGTTTCATTTTGGAGCATCGAGGAATAAGGTGTCGAAGGCACGACTCCGGATGCAATTTTCGGAATAAAAGACCAGTTTTGAGAAGTTTTGCCCTGGAGAGTCCGCTTAGAATGCAAAAGGCCGCTAAGCGCAAGTGCCCTCAGCACATTTTATAGTGCGATGCTTGCGTTTTGACATTTTGGCAAAAGCTTAGTTTTTGAGCCCGCTTAGTGCGGTGAGCCCGCTAAGCGCGGTCTGTTGAGATTTGTTTTATAACTTCATTTTCAGTTCATTTTTTGTTATGGTTTTTGGGGTGTTTTTATTCCCAAATTCCATCAACCTTATTTTTTATAGATTAGCTTAGAAAACAACACTAGGGCTTTGCTTATGGGTGATTGGAGATGGATTTCTCATCAACCGACGCTGACAAACCGGAAGATTTATGGTTTACTTCTTCTCCTCTCTATGTATTTCTCTTTTGTTGGGTTTTTTATGTATATTTACTTACAACTCATGTATATTTGTCGCCCATGGAGTTGTATAAAACTTGCTTTACAAATCTTTGTCGATTGTTATCCTTGATTTTTGCTCTATGATAGGGATTTGAGTTGCTATAGACATATACTACTTGTATTCTTATCTAGGATGATTATCTGTTAGTTTCTGGATTCTAGAGATAGATTTAGAGATGATATTCACTTTGGGTATCTCTGACTAATACCTCTGTGTTGTTTGTGTCGCTCTGAGAGATCGTTGATATAAGCGAGCACGGTTGACTTCTTTGTTGTTAAGGTTGGTTGAGAGATCACCGCCAAGGTGATACAGTGGGTGTTGTGTTTGGTGCGTGATGACATTGTTGAATATTGTAAGTTGAGTATAACTGGTCGATAGGTTTAAGTTTGTGACGAGTAGAGTATATTAGAGTCGGATAAATTTGTCTTTCCTTTTTATACATTTATTTTCGTTGATACCTTTCCTTTCAACCCATTCAAACCCTAAACTCATTAACAAGAGATTTGTCGAACGACATTTCAATACACCAATCTCTGTGGACACGATACGATATAACCTAAATATCACCCGGTAAAAATGATACTTTACTTTTTGCTTAATGCTTTACCGCTTCCAGCAATTCTCACTACGGAGACTTATATAATTGAGTCCTTTAGACGAGACTTAGATAGTCGAGTCCCTCATGTGAGACTTATATAATTGAGTTCCTTAGTCAATATTTTTGAAAGGCATGTTTTTCCAACTCTTAGGCCCCTGCTTTCGTATTAATAGTTTCATCTCCCCGTTATAGAGGTTCTGTAACCTCACCCTTCAAGGACTTATTAATGAAATGTTTAGATCTTATGGACATTTCTCTTATTCGAATTTGTTTCTTCATAATTATAATTAGTTTTGAGGCGTATTCCTTTATGTGGACCTGACTGAGCTTGAGGTTGAGGCTAATTTTATTGAGGCCCCTTGGCGGGCTTCGAATGTACTTGCTAAAATAAGTATAATGAGGATAGTCCTATGTTTGTAGGGTTTCTTTGTGGAGTTTATGGTATTCTGACATTGTTTAGGGTTAGCTCATACAAAATGGTAAGAAATTTTGTATATATGGCTTTTCTAGGAAAATTTTGGATATCCCTCTTCGACCATAAGTTTGAGGTATTTATAAAGGCTTACTGGGTCTGAGCTAGAGAACCGAAATACAATTTTTTTCCCGCTTCTATGATCATATAGAAGGCCAAGAGGAGACTTATTCTTCCTAGAATCATATGGGAATCAATTTTTTGTGACTCTCTCTTCACTCATTCACTGTATGGAAACATGTCATCACCCACATTTACTGGATATGTGAAAATTACTTCGTACGGCCCAAGCCCAATAGGGAGACCTTTCACAGAATTTGGGCTGCCTTATGCCCATATCGGGAGGTTTGTGGCTTTGGTAGGAAGCTCATCCCTCAGTGTGCTTGACTTTCCTTTCTTTTTTATATATTCTCCCTTCTTAGGATCTAGTAAAATTATCTCAATACAAATAACAACTTATAATATTTGTAGATATAAATAATTATTACCAAATCTTATTTTTATCCAATTTATCACTATCTATTATATCTAAAATAAAAAAGTTAAAAATTATTAATTAAAATGATATTAATAATCAATTTAAAATCAACCGTAAAAATTTAAATTATATTTTAATTAAAATAACACTAATAATCTATTTAAATTGACACTAATAGTTAATTAAAATAAAAATATTATTAATAAAAGTGATACTAATAATCAATTTAAACTTGTCCGTGAAAAAGTTATTACATGATTTGATAAATTTAAAAATTAGGTCAATACGAAAATAGAAGGTAAGTGGGCAACAAGCTACGCCACTACTCCTTTTTGGATAGCAAAACCAATCTTCTTAAAAACTAAATTCATATATCTAAGAGATACAACATTGTTATTCATAAGCCTTTGAACTCTTTGTAAAAGATCAACTGCTTCTGGTGCTAGAAAACCAAGAGTGCTAAAGGCAAATGGTATAAAAACATGTTGATTTTCAGAACACACTTTCTCATGTTTGACCACTTTACTGGAAGCAGCTTTGAGAGCTACCTGTCCCACAATAAAACTACCATCCCTCAAACCCACCAGTGGAGAAACTCACGTCAAGTCCACACAAACATGTTTCCTTCCTACCCATTCGTACACCAAAACATCTGCTGGCCTATGTGTTGATCTCCCATAAAGTGGGTAAGTCAAAAAATTCACAGGCGCCTCTTTCTTCACAGATACTCTAGCACATCAGAATATATCAAACATGACATCCCTAACAAGGTCATGTCGGTATTTGAAGCCTAGAATCTCCTTACAATGAACCGCGTGTTCTCCAAATGTATCCAAACATGCCTTACGAAAAATAGGGAAAACCTTATCAATAGGAAATAAAGGAATTATAAAGCAGTATCTTAGGATAGTACGATACTCTATCGGTGACATATGTTGGCCTAGCCCATCAATAGGAATAGTAAAGAGAAAGTCTTTAGCATGTGCGACTTACAAACAACTAAAAATGCCTCCTACCTTGTGGTCATGTCAAACTTCACATTCATGTCCTTAACAATTTTACTAAAAAGTACACTCACCAAAACATGTTGTGCTTTAGGAGGGACAGTGTCCTTACTAGTAAAATTGCTAAGGTCAAAATCTGGAATCGCAACACTAAGACCATCCAAAGTTCTGTCGAAATCTGAGTCCATATCATACTAATAGGAAGTTTTCCTATCAAAGCTAAGAATTAGGGTTTTCTACACTAAAGGGGGAAGAAGATCAATTTGACTAAATAAAATAAAAGGAATAAAATAACTTTTCATTTGATTTCTTGATTCCTAATGTGTCATAGACACTACATATATAGAACTCTCAATGGATAATTAATTATGAGGCCCAAACTCTATTAAATGCCCAATTTAACAACATTTAAAGATAACAACTAACATAATTATATTACTACTTAAAATATCTAATTACACCTCCTATCATTGCCGCCCGGTTCACATTGAACCTTGTTCTCAAGGTTCTAAAATTACTCCCGGATCTCATAGTATAAAGAGAAAAACTCCACTGATACATGTGAAAGTGTAATCAACCTTCCTAAAAGCAGCAACAACTTCATCAATCTTACCTAGCTTAAAGCACTCATTAACCATGGCATTTAAAGTATCAAAATTAACAGCTTGAAAATTAGGAGGAGTGTGATTATCTAACATCTGATCAAACAATTCCCAAGCCTCCTTTTGCTTACCATGCTTAAGAAAAACCTCCAGCAGAACATTACTAGTTGCTGGAAGCATCCTAAACTGGCAATCCATGAACAACTTGTAAGAATCCATACCCTCATTATCTCTTCCTTGATTAAAGAACCCATCCATGTAAGTAGTATTCACAACACTATCATAAACCAAACACCTTTCCTTGAGCTCAGAATTATCAGTGGAAACACAACATATATCAAATAATTGACCTTTACAATAAAGAAACATGTTTTGCATAAGTTTCTCACTGATTCTAGATGCAGTGTTGTCACAGCTAGAACAACTGTCCAAAATCATGGAGAACAACTTACGCTCAATATCCCAATCCTTTAAACAAGACATCACAGCTGCTGAAAGCATGTCTTGAGTATGAGAAGGATCAATCCGTATAAAATTGAATATCCTCTTTCTGAATTGCCATGATTCATCAATGTAATTTGATGTCAAACATAAATACTCAGTTTTATGAAAAGCCTTATGAATTTCTCGTTGACCTGCAGTTTTATCAACCAGTGAATCAAGGTTATCGAAACCAACAGATTCAGCCATTTTCGTTTGTTCATCGGGTGTTGCTGAGTTATGGCGTCTTGGAATTGTGTCATTCGATTTCAACGCTTCAACGGAGCTAGATCAAGATTGTGATGGATAACCAACACCGAGAAATCCACCAACATAATCCTTGTTTTTATCCATAAACATATCAGCCTGATATGTCACCTCCGCAACGGCACCGTTTTGAACATTCTCCAATTCACGATCCTTAAACTTCAATTCTTCCTCCTCTACTACAACACCGTTTTGAACACTTCTGAATCCACTATCGGTACCAACCTTCGCAACAATATCAGTAACATGAACATTATTCAAATCAGATCCCAGACTGTTATGACGAATCTCTCCTATGAATGATTTTGGAACACTTTCAGTATCCGACAACTCCAATTCATCTTATGGTTTCCCACAATCCTCGTCACCATTCAGGTTTGTTTCAGAAACCATAACCTCTTTACTCTTTTGACTCATTCTATCAAACGGATTTAGAAAACTCTCACCATGAACCTCTTTATTAGAAAGATTCAATTTTTGACTTCCACAAAGAAAGCTTAAGGTTAGTTTTTGCATACCTGAGTTACTGTTAAATGCACCAACCCGTTGTTGTTATTAGGTTTTAAGTTAGGGTTCTAAAACTTCATGTTAGGATCCAAAGGCAGATGTTGAGACCAAACCGTGTTGTATCCACCGTGATTCATCATCTGAGGAAGATTCAGATCCCCAATAACAAGTGAAGAAGAATGTTGGTTGAAAGCACAGATTCCATCTTCACGCATAGATCGATTGGAGTAAAGAACATGGTTGTCGGGGGCGAGATCGATGGCTTCGAAGAAGTGGGGGATGTCGGTTGGGAAGTCGCCGAAAGAGAATGCGACATTTCCTAGAAATATACCAACAACACCAACACGTCGTGAAACGTTGTTGTCTGGTTTGGATCCTCTGCCTATGTGCTTAACAGTGGGTTTTCAATGAAGATGATAAAGGGTTTGGGTTTTTTTGTTGGCTTGCTTGAAACATGGATGATAAAGGGTTTGAAGTGGTCTATGGATCTAATGGTTGTTTGAGAATTTTGTTTCTATGTTTTCTTAAAAGAGGGATGAGATATTTGGAGATACTTCTCAAAATCTCTTATATTTCTAGAATGGGTTTGATATTGATGATCAATTGTGAAAGAGGTGTTTGTTGGTTGGACTTGTTGATGATAATTATTGTAGTAATATGAATAATGAGATGATGAATAAGATGAATATGTGTTAGAATTAGATGTATGTGGTGAATATCCGTGAGTTAAATACAAACTTGGTAATGATGATCCATAGAAGAAAATGAGGAAGTGATTGGAGATGTAAAAGAGGAGTTTGTGAGATAGGTAGGAGGAATGCTTCATGGATGATATGAAGATGTATGATAAGGATAATCTAAAGAAGGATTTGAGTACATGGATGAAAGCACCAATTGATATAAAGTTTTCCTATCAAAACTAAGAATTATGGTTTTCTACACTAAAAGAGGGAAAAACATTAAATTGAATAAATAAAATAAAAGGAATAAAATAACTTTTCATTTGATTTCTTGATTCCTAATGTGTCATAGACACTACATATATAGAACTCTCAATGTATAATTAATTACAAAACTCAAACTCTATTAAAGATTCAATTCAACAACATTTAAAAATAACAACTAACATAATTATATTATTACTTAAAATATCTAATTGCACCTCCTATCATATACACACCACCATGCCTCAATATTATGATCTAAGATTGGGTCTTAGGAGGAAAAAAAAAAGTATGAAAAAGCCTTATACATTATATTTTAAATTTATCACACTTACGACATTTTACTTTGAATATCAAACAAATAGACCCTTGAAATTATCTAACAAACACTTCTTTTACTTAAACAATCATTATTTTACAAAAATTTATTACTGGCATCTGAAAATATATATATAAGGTAAATAAAAACAATGGAGTCTCTAGAGGAGGAGTAATGGAGCTGGAAACATTTTTTTCCATAGTTGATTTTAGCTTGCTAAGTACAATCCAAGGGCTAAATTAGATTCATCCAAAAGCTAATAAACGATTAAAGCCCATATGTCTCTAGCCATGATACTCTTTCCGCAATTATCTCCCAAAAGGTCACCAACTCTCTTAGAAAAAGTAGTGATATTTCTTTCATAAAATTTTGTATAGTGCCTTTTTATTTATTTTTTTAAGTTTTATAGGTGTGAATTAATTTAACAAGTTTGGATTAAATTTGAATAAGTAAGAGTAAAAATTGAGAGATTTTAGAGTTTTGTTTTCAAACTTATGTGAATGAGTAGGAAAAATATAATGCATAAAATTTTTAATCGAATGTTATTATCTAAATAGCATTCTCGTATATATTAATTCGGAGTTACTCATTCGAATATTTATATGAAGTGTCTAAAAATTAATTTTTAAACAATAATATTTTTTAACTTTTATTGGATTTTAAGAAAAACATATAAGATATAATGACCTAATAAATTTTTGGTAGAAGAAACCCCATAATTTTAATAAAAAAATTATTTCTACAAAAAGCAACACATTAGGTATTTTTCTTTTGGTCCGTAAAAAAAAAGTATTTTTTTTTGGTCAAAAAGTCAAATACTACATTGGAAACTTATTTACTCAAATATTTTCAAGAATTAATTTATTGAAATTTGAAAACATAAAACAAAACAAAAGAATCTTCTTATTTCAAAATAAAAATAAAACAAGACAAAAAACAAAAGGCATTGTTGTTGAGAGAGAGTTCGTGGGTTGCCTCGTTTTTCCTTAGCATAACTTCGCTGTCGTTTTATAGAATTATTGTTGCCGTTTTAGTCTCTTCTTTGGACATTCCTCTTTCTCTCTCTGAATTCAACATGAACGACCTTCTTACTGTAAGTTCATATCTCTAATTCCCTCTCTTAACCCAAAAAAATTCAATTTTTATCACTGGGTTTTTCCAAAATTCATCTATAGTCTCAGATTTGATACTCTTTGTATACTATAAGGTGACATAGTGTGATTAATTTTTTTTTAATTGTGAATTTTCAAGTGAGGTTCATATTTTAGCTTTGAATCCTGAACTAATCATGTTTTGATTTTTAACTTTTGATAATTAAAATTGATTTTATGACTATTGGATTGGATCATAGTTAATCCCTATGTAGATTTTGGGTGTTTTTGATTTGACTTAGATTGAGTAAAGTATCATGTTATTGTTTCTTAAGATCAAAGTTTAAGGATAGTTTTTTTTACCCTTTTGTTGTTGTAGGATTCATTTGTTAGTGAGGCTACTAATGGACAGCCTTCAAGACATGGTGATATTGAAATGGGAATGCAGGGTCCAGGAAGCAATTCTGATATGGGAATGGAAGCTTTTAATAAACAGGTACACTATGTATCTGCTATTTGATTCATTTTAGTCTTTTATGGTTCAAAATGTTAATTTGGCCTTTTGTATTTGTGTGTTTGGTTATATGGTTACAAAAATTGATTTTGAATTAATTGATTTTAGTTAAAAGTTAGTTGAATATGAAGTAGTTTGTGTTTGGATACACAAACTAATGTTTCGTTTCACGGAGAGCACTTACAATTGATTCTGGATGTGTAGAATTGATTTTGACATGTTTGGTTGATCGCAAGTAGAATTGATTCAGAGTCAATTTTACAAAATCAATTCACTCGGAATCAATTTTTTTCACCGCAAAACCAAACCCACACTTAAAAGTCAGTAGAAGAATAAGTTTTAGTGTAAAAATTATAGTACAAGTCAAAAGCTACAATTTCAACTGCAAGTTACAATAAATTTTTTAGGCAAAATCAATTCCAATCAACATTGCCCAAACATGTTCTAAATCAATTTTGCATATGTTTTGAACTGTGTTGGATTTTCGAAGTTTAGCTTCAGATCTGACATGTCATTTATGTGTCTGGAATCACGTTTGACTCCTTCTACTGTGAATCCAAACACATGTAAACCCGAAAAAGTTTTGCTGCTTCATGCTGTTTTTGTTCGGTATGTCAATTGAACATCTTAAGTTTACTGATATTTCTTTATTAGATCCAAGATGCCGATAAACAAATCGAGAAGCTATCCGTACTACTTCAAAAGCTAAAGGTATCCATTATCTTCATCATTTAGTGCTTTGTAGCAGCATCGTCTCGTTTATAACTGTTGCTAAATGCACTTTTTGCAGGAAGCTAATGAGGAATCAAAAGCTGTTACAAAGGCATCTGCCATGAAAGGTATTGTTTAAGCGCAATTTCTGTATTGTTTTTAGTTAATAACACTTCAAATTGACTTAATAGACCTTTTACGTCATTCTCAGCCATCAAGAAGAGGATGGAAAAAGATATCGATGAAGTTGGTAAGATTGCATATGGTGTCAAAGCAAAAATAGAAGCTATCAACAGAGAAGTAAGGGGAGCTAGATGGATATTTTTTAGTATATGTCGGCTTGTTTTATAAATTTCAGACGCGTAAAGGAGTTATTTAATCGGGACATTTTTTGTGTGCAGAATCTAAACCATAGACAAAAGCCTGGCTGTGAGAAGGGAACTGGTATTGATAGAGCAAGGATGAATATGACAAAGTAAATTTTTAGTTACATATCTTTATTAGCTTACTTGATAAAACATTCCGAGAAGCTGAAATATCTACTTTTCCTTGCAATCACAGTTCCTTGACTAAAAAATTCAGGGATCTCATGACAGAGTTTCAGGTATTTTAATCTGAACCGCCTAACACTTGAGAAGCTGTTTTTCCGTATTTATGTATATATTCTCATCAATGTTTATGTTGCAGACTCTCAGACAAAGAATACAAGATGAATATCGTGAGGTTGTGGAGAGAAGAGTTATTACAGGTTTGAACGTTTTACTCCGTCGATGAAGTTAACTGTGTTACCTTATGGCAGTACTATAGTCATCATGTTCTTGTGTTATTAACTTTGTGATTGTTTGTTTGGCTTGATTCGACAGTCACGGGAACTAGGCCGGATGATGAGGTGAGTTTGATTCATGAGTTTGTTACTTGAGATGAGATATTGGATAAATCTAAGTTTTGGTGTAACTGGTTGTTTAATGATTATGTTAGACGATTGACCACCTGATAGAAACTGGAAACAGTGAGCAAATCTTCCAACAGGCAATTCTTGAAGCAGGCCGAGGACAGGTACTTGGTTTGTGATTCTTTATTTGTGCGGAAAATCAAAACTTCTTAAAGTAAAAGTTTGATTCAGAAAATTTGGGCTGTTGCAGGTAGTGAACACGGTAGAAGAAATTCAGGAGAGACACGATGCTGTGAAAGAAATCGAGAAAAAACTTCTTGATTTACATCAGGTTTACTTGCAAGAACATAATGTTCTTCAATATTTATTTAGTCGACAACAATAGTAATAATAGTGAGTATGTCTAATCTAACTTTATTATTTCTCAGATTTACCTCGACATGGCCGTCTTAGTTGATGCTCAAGGAGAAATTTTAGACAACATTGAGAGCCAGGTTTGTTTGTGTTCTCGCATCCTTGATTTTTCTGTATACATATGTATGTTTGTATGAAAAATGCAGCGCATGTTTAGTTCAATTTGCGTTAATAAGAGCCTTGTTCAGGTCAACAATGCAGTAGATCATGTCCAGAGAGGGACAACCGCACTTCAAAGTGCTAAGAAACTCCAAAAGAATTCTCGAAAATGGATGTGCATTGCCATCGTGATCCTGTTAATAATAGTAGCGATCATAGTTGTCGGTGTTATCAAACCTTGGAAGAGTAACAAGGGCGCTTGAGTCTGAGTTCCTTTGTCAGTTGTCTGTCTATATATATAAGAGTTGTGTTGGCTTGGTTGGTTGCGAAAGCATTTGCATGTGTCGGCGGGAACATCATAGAACAGGATTTTTAAGACTTTTTTGTTTTTGTATGATGCTTGATTTGTGTGGTGTGATTGTCATCTGACTTAGTAATACATCGGTGTGTCTCAAAATATGAAATTCTTATTCTTTGTAGCCCACAAATGTTTATCAGGCCTCTTATCACATTGTGTATTGTACCATTTCTAAAACTGGTTTTGCTGACATTTGCTTTGTGACAAATATTGCATTTATGTTTTTCTTCTAAAGCCGGTTTCTCCGATTTTGTTCCTCTTTATAAGGTCATTCTAAGTTCCATGTGTAGTTAAAAAAAAACTCACTTTTAGTGTATGTTTGGATTCGCAATGAGTTTGAAAGAATCGCTGTGAGTTTGATAGAATTACAATGAGCTGAGCTCGTGATTTTGAAAACTCCTTTGTGGTTCCGAAAATCCACTGTTCTTTGACAAGTTTTACTTTCTGATTTTTTTTATCAACGTTTATCCTATTTCATATAAAAAAAATGTGTTAATTATAACTATTAGCTCTAATGTGTGATCAATTAACGAGTTGTTTTCAATTATTTCAAGAGTTAAAAACTGGATAAGTTATATGGATTATCTTACCAGTGTATAGTTCAATAAACTAGTTAGAATTAAAGAAAAAAGAATTTTGTCCTATTTTGTTCACTTAAATTTTTTTTTTAAAAATGAAGAGGATTTGAACTTTTCATGTTCTATTTTGGTGTTTTACATTCCATTGACAGTGTATATGTGATTGTGTCTGAGTGTCATAAAAAACTATTGATTATTAGTCAATTAGAAATGGAAAAAAGATAACAGAACAGATGAAGTTTATGTAGTCCTATATGATTTAGTGGGATCCATATGATTTTCTAGATCATTTCAGTTTTATGTTTCAATTTACAATTTAATACAAATATTTTCAACTATCTGTTCTGGATTCCGTTAGTTTTGTTGAAAGGATAAACAGAAACTAAGTCCACTTTAAGTAACCCAATATATATGAACCATTGAAGTTTTTGGTTATACCATTTGAACAATCCAACATGGATTGCACTTTTACATGGTTAGAACATTATTTTTGGCAGGAAATAATCAATTTGTTTAGCAGAAATCATCCCCTGAAACTTTTTATTTTATCCATTTTGTCCGCAAAGCAGTTGTGAATTATTAGTTTGTTTGATATATTACACCAATTCCTTAATTATTTCATACTGGTAATCATTTTTTGTGTTGACAAAATGATACAATGATATTAACAGGTGGTAAATGCAACTGATCATGTGAAATCGGGTAACGACTCTCTCCACATTGCAAAGAGCCTGCAAAAGAAGTCAAGAAAATGCATGATGATTGCCATTATATTGATCCTGCTCATTGCCATCTTTATAGTACTCGCAGTTTTGAAACCATGGAAGAAGTGATCAGAAGAGAAAAGTAACTTGCACACAAGAAATCTCGTTATTTCATATTCATATTGTTTTTCAAGTGCATGAAAACTTGCATTTGACACAATAGTATGACATTGTTTACGCTATCACTATACTTATTTTTTATTTTTTTTACAAAAGCATCTCTCTTTATTGAATTGGCTTTCTGTGCATAAATGCACTGTTAATGCACAGTATGATGTCAACTTTTACATACTCTGAATCATCGAAGGAAAAAAATGCACCTTTTGTAATTGATGGCTATATATCATATACTTGTGAGCATTGATGACTTTCTTACAGGTTAATAATGCTACTCTACTTCACTTTGGTTAACCAACTATCAAACTTGTTTAACCAATGATCTACATATGGTTAACCACCAAACTAACAGTGATTTGATAGGAATCACAATTAACTAGTAGTTAACTAGTAGTTAGGTGGTTAAACATGTGTAGGTTATATTGCTTGAATAGGTTTAGATTGAAAGTTAATCAACGTGATGTATATGGAAGTGCACAGTATATGGAAGTGCATATGAGAGGTGATGTATAAAGCATGGTACTGTGTTCAGAAGTTGAGTTACATATCTCAATAACACAAAATGGTTAAGAATGATCAGAAGAAACCTTGAAATAGTAAATATATTGGAGGCACAACTTATAAGTTGTAGAAGGAAATCTTATGTTCTAACCTTAATCAGTTCTATAATCTGTGTCAATCGAGGTAACAGATGTCAAAGAATAGTCTTTTATATAATCCTCTGCTCATTGGTTAATGTCTTGGTGCAGAGCATGAAAGAAAGAAATACAAAAACAAATCATCTGCTTTCATCCTGTCTGTTTCTATAATAATAGCTATAGCTTAGTGTATTTAAGTGGCTTGGTTTCTCCCCATTGATTGCTAGCTTTTAAGGGAGGGTTTGCCAAGTTCTTCGATACTTAGTGGCTCGAAAAGGGCTACATATGGAGGGGCTAACTGGATAAGGCCAAGTAAAGCGAGCCACCCGGACATTGGCTCTCAGGGGCTGTACTATGATATAGAGACTTAGGCATTACGGGATGCCCAAGTATCTCATAAAGTAGTTAGGGATACTCGATGGTGAATTTAAGTGGCTTGGTTCCTCTTCCCCTTGGTAGTTATGATTTAAAGGTTCACTAAACCCTTAGATACTTATTAGACATATTTGTGATTCAAAGACGGAGAAAAGTTTCTCCTTGTAACTTGTATATAGAGGAAAAAGCTTTTCCAAAGCAAGTCTGCCTCTAATACAAACAAGTATGGGTATATATGCTTACTTTCTCATTTTAGAGGCACGTTCACTTTAGAAGTGTTATCCCTCGGTCACATACCAAATGTTGATTTTATCAAAACAAGAAGAAAAAGACGTGCTCTTCTTACCTTTCAAATCCTAACATTGTTTCAGTAGAGTTGTCTTAAATTTTTAGAGGTCTTGTGTTGGTTAGCTATGTTTCAACCGTGACGTCTTATTTAATTATGGTTTAACTTGGGCAGATCTATTATGAGACCCTATTTACCATAATTTTATTCTAGAAAATTTGAGGTATTGTGTTGTAGCTCATCTTGCAAGCCTTAAAGACAACCTTGTGTTCCACTATCTCAATATTTCACAACCTTCAAAGTTCTAACTGTTAGAAATTTTCTGTTATTAACTTAACCATCTGTTATTAACTTACCTGTCCACAACTCTGTCATTCCCCCGAAATATGTAGTTGGTTCTGCCACTGTCCTGCACTATCACTATCACTATCATCGTACAATATCTTATTTATCTTCCATAATTCTTAGAATGCTTTGAGATTTCTTATGGCCATACCACCTATTAGTGGAACACATTCTATTTACCATTCTAGACCTCATGAAAAACAGGGAACTACCATTAAAGTTCCGAAGGTATGTTTGACATGAAGAAAGAAGAATAGGGGGAAAGGAGTTTCACCATTCACAATGCCCTCACTTATCCTTCAGCATCCATAGGACTTAATGGGCAATGAAGTCAATGAATACTCTTCAGTTTGGTATTTTCATTGTTGAATAGAATACCTAAAAACAACAGTGAGTTTGCCAGAATCACGGCGAGATATGATTTTGCAAAACCTGTAGCTATAATATCGACAAACTCATGGTGATTCCAAACATAACTTCAATTAAAACCATGTAAAATAATCTTGTTAAATAAATAATACGTAAATGAACTACTATAATTTTTTCAATAAAGCACATCTAGAAGCAAATCTATTCACCTTTCATAATTTCATACCTTTTCATGATAGGTGACCCCAATATTCCACGGTAGTAAATGACGACAAATTTCTTGCTATCAAAACTACGCAATTCATGTGTAAGTACAGATAACTACTCGAACAACTCTTATCATTCAAATCAACTAGATAAAGGGAGTTACACAATTATAAAAGCATAAAGATCCAGATCCAAAACTTCTCACTGTAACAAACACAGAGACATTAAAAATGTAATGTTCAGCATCTGAAGAAGATCGAATGCCAGCAATAAAACATAACAAGAATAACTTCAGACATCTAACAGCAATTCTGGATTTACAATTGCATAGCTCAAACTCCCATTTGCTTAAGAGAAACGTGATTTTGTCAAAAAAAATCAATTCGCATAATTGAAGATAATAAAAAAATCAAATTTGCAACCACTTCCTCAAACAAGCAATAAAAAGTAAAAACCCAAGTTTTTAAGTTTTACACTGAACTTGTAAGTCCACAACCGCGAAAATAGCTCCGAGAAAATAGTATCGACAGGTTTCAGTATTATCGATATCCGTTTTTATGTTAAAGAATAAATAATGATTAATTTACACTGCAACGACCGCAATCAGTATCACAACATATATACCGATACCGAAAGAAATCACGAAAGTCTTTACACAAACACGACTGCAACCATTATTTAAAACTTTGAAACTGTTTTCCTTTTCGGATTCGAGAGTTCTTAATTATGATATGCAATCGAGTTATTATAAGAATTTTTTTTGTTGCATTATACATAACATCCCACTGTAAATTAATTTCTGAGAAACAATTTCCAAGTATAAATCACTTCACTTAAATTTTCTTTCAAGAAAATCAATTATCAATTATATAATATAAGATCATTCAAAATCAAATTTACAAAGCCTAAACCAAAAACACAAAATCCATAGTTTAGGATCTCCACATAGCTTTTGAGCTCTTAATACTTTTATTTTTATCGAACAACAAAAAAAAAAAAAAAATCAAACAGCATAGTGATAAGATCTGGGAAGAAGCAGGAATATAATATTTGAAAATGAAAATCTGAAAGTAATAATAACAAGTATGATAAATAAATAATAACAAAGAAGAGTTAAATTTGAAGATTTAGAAGCAGGTGGAAATGAAGAAAAAAAGTATACCTTGAATTGAAGAGGTTAGATCTTTGGTGGCGAATTGCATGTGTTCTTTTGATGTGGTTAGATCTATTTGCGGGAGAGGATAAATATTCACCAATAAAACAAAACTAATGACTTGGAAACTTTGACTGGTTGAGATAAAACCAAATTAATGAAACATATAACTCACTTAAGTTAGACTAAAACGGGTGAAAGGTTAAATTTTTTTTGTTTAAACTATGACATTTAAAAGTGTCAAAAATATTATAAATTAAATCAATTTTTCTTTTTATTTATTTAAAAAATAATTTTTTTTGAACAAATACAAAGATCTTAGTGATGAAATTTCTATTTTTTTTATTTCTTTTCAAAATAAAAATGTTTATAAAATAATAGTTTTTTACTTTTTATGAGAATAAGTCAAAAAGAATAAATATTTTACTTTTTATATTTTAAATAAGTATTCAGTTTAAAGATCTATTAATAGTGTTCCATTGAAAATATAGCATAGTGTATAACCAAGCGGAACACGTGAAGTATTACTTATCAAAATATTAATTTGAGATTTTGAGAGGTGAAATTTCCTCGGTTCTAAATTTTTAAAATGTTTCGTTATTTTACACGTATTAAAAAAAATAATTATTATTGTATATGAAAGAGAGATTATGTATGATTTTATATTATTGTCCTTAATTAATTATAAAGAAAAGAAAAAATTATGAGAATTGAAAAAAGAAAGAGAAATAAATAATAAAAGATATATTAAAAAAGATATTATTAATATTGTATTAAAATTATAAAATAATTTATAATTTATAATAAATTTTTTCTTTAAAATATTTTATAATTTAGGACGGAGGAAATATTAAATTTTCATCAACATGTCAATTTTTGAAGTTAAGAAAAAACATTAACCATTCTAATTTGCAGAAATTTCTGATTCATCCATTGAAATAAATGTAATCAAATAAAATAAAAATAACAACTAAAAAATAGTTTTATGAAAATGTGTGAAGTGTATTTAAATTTGTCTCATTTAATTAATGGACCAAATTTAATTAGTGAAAATATGTATACTTTTTAAATAAAAAGAGAGTGAAAACGGAGTTGAAGAGGTAATTTCTACCCAAAAATAATGAGATAAAAGAATAGTTAATTGATTATAGAGTTAATTTATAATTGTCTTGATAAAATGCAACAACACTAGCATTATAAATCTCATTAAGAATATAATACTTCACTCTTAAAAAAAACAAATTAAGATTTATGATTAATGTGTTTTAAAACTTCTTTTCCATCTTTGTATTTTAACATTTGAAAGTGTCTTAAGTTTAATTTGTATATTTTGACACTTCTTTTTCTTCTTTGTACTTCAATATTTTGAAGGTGTTTTTGTTAAAATTGTAATTCATAGTATCGAAATTATGCGTGTCGAATAGATTAGATTTATTTTAGATTTAAATTGATTTGATTTAGATCTAAAATAGAACAGATTTGATTTAGTACCAAAATAAATATTTTAGGCTTTTATAGTTTTGGGCTTAGGGTGCAAGCTAAATCTATAAATAGAGGGAGTAACCCCTATTTTGTAATCAAGTCAATTAAGTTGTATTCACAGAATTTGCAGTTGCAAGTGAATAACAAAGTTTTCCACAGTTTGTGGGCAGAGAGAAACTCTGCAGAAAATAATTGTTTTATTTCTTTTCTTTTCATTTTCATAATTCATTGTCATTGTGTAGAAATTCATCATAGATATTTGGTGGATTTCCAACATATGGTATCAAGAGCTCAATTTCGATTCAAGGGAAGTATCAATCAAGAACGATTGAAGAATTCACGATGGTGAATTATGAGAATGCAAATTATCCAGCAACTCTACCAATTCTGAAAGTAGACAACTATGAGAATTGGTGCAAACAGATGAAAGTCTTATTCAGGTGTCAAGGTCTTCGGGATCTTGTAAAATATGGATTCGAAGCGCTTGGAGAAAACACTTCAGAAGAAGAAAAGAATAAACACACAAATTAAGAAGCTAGTTATAAAGCACTCTTTATAATTCATCAATGTGTGAGTCCAGAAAATTTTGAAAAAGTAAGTGATTCAGAATCTGCAAAAGAAGCTTGGGTTGTTCTTGAGAAGTCCTTTGGTGGTGCAGAAAAGGTGAAAGAAGTGAGGTTACAAACTCACAAGAGAACGTATGAATTGCTTCAGATGGAAGATAGTGAGAGCATATCTGATTTCTTCACTAGGATTACAAAACTAGTGAATCAAATCAAGGTATATGGAGAAACATTGACAACAAGAGTTGTTATTTCAAAGATCTTGAGATCTTTGGCTCTTAAGTTCGACCACATGGTGGTTTCTATAGAAGAGGAGAAAGACTTGTCGAAATTGACAAAGGAAGAGCTTCAAGGGACGCTTGAATCTCATGAACAAAGAATGAATGAAAGA